AAGAAAGCTATTGGTGGGAGCTGGAGAGTTGGCTCAGCAGTTAAGAGCACTGGCTGCTCTTGCAGAGGACCCAGGTTCAATTCCTAGTACTTACATGGCGGCTAACAACCGACTGTAAATCCAGGTCCAGGGATCCAATGCCCTCTTCTGACCTCTGCCTGCATTGCATGACACTGATACACTGACACAATATAGGCAATAGACTCATACACATATTTTATGTGTATGAGGGTATTGCCTGCATGTATGTGAGTGCACCCATGTCATGCAATGCCACAGAGATCAGAAGAGGGCGTTGGATTCCCTTAGAACTGGAGTTAAGGACAGTGCATAGCTGCCATGTGGGTGCTGGGACTCGAACTCGAGTCCTCTGCAAGAGCTGCCAGTGCTCTTAACCACTGAGCAATCTCTCCAGCCCCTGGTATGGGAATTTTATTTTTTTTAAAGAAAGCAATTGGTGGCAACACTTGGGAGGCAGAAGCAAGCAGAGCTCTGTGAGTTTGAGGCCTGGTTTACACAAGTTACAGGGCAGCCATGGCTACATAGTGAGACCCTTATTTCAAAAGAAAGAAAAAACGATTGTGTGCTAAAATTATCTGTGAAAGAGTAAAGACGAAAAGCAGGGTGGAGAGATGGCTCAGTGGCTAAGAACACTTGCTGCCCACTTGCTGCCCTTGCAGATGACTGGGGTTCAGTTCCTAGCACCCACATGGTGGCTAACAACCTCCAGTTCCAGGGCAGCTCATGCCCTCCTCTGGCTTCCATGGATTCTGCACACACATGGTGCACTTACATACAGGCAAAACACTCCTACACATAAAGTAAAAATAAACTTGAAAAAAATCTAAGTACAGACACACACGTACTAGACATCATTAAAAAGAACATAAAATTTAAAAAACTGCTCAGCGGTTAAGAGCAGGGGACCCAGGTTGGGTTCCCGGCAGCTAATAACCATCTTTAACTCCAGTTTCAGGGGGTTCAATGCCCTCTTTTGACCTCTGTAGGCATTGTATGCAAATGGTACACTTACATGCATGCAAAACTCATGCACACACAAAATTAATTAAAAAAAAAAAAAAGATGGCGAAGGCATTCAATTTATGGGTGGAACTCACACGCAGAAAACATTCACCTGACAGCAATGAGTTGTACCAGACAGCACAGGGTACAGGAAGATCTCAGTAAGGGACCCTGAACCAGTGTCACCAGGCCATTTCCTTACGGAATTCAGGTCCTGAAACAGGTTTGAACTGACAAGTCTAAGAATTATTGCACAGGCTGTGCCTGATGAGAAACTTGCCAGCAGAGCTGGGTGTGGTAACACATGCCTGTAATTCCAGCATTTGGGAGGCTGAGGCACAAGGAGATTCAGAAGCTTGAGGCTAGTCTGGGCTACAAAGCAAGACCTTGTCTTAAAACCTAAAAAAAGAGGCTGGAGAGATGGCTCTTGCAGAGGACCTGTGTTTGGTTCTCAGCACCCACATGGCAGCTAACAACTGTCTGTAACTCCAGTTCCAGGGGATCCGACAGCCTCTTCTGTCCTCTGTGGGCACTACATGACATACACTTGCCTACATGCAGGCAGTGCACGCATACACATAAAATAAAAAACAAATATTAAAAAAAGAAAGATATCCAGTACAACCTATCCCAATAAAGTATAGAGAAGACGGCCGAGTGCAAAATGTGGACGATGAGCTCCGGTGCATGGCAATGCTGCAGGTCGCCAGCAGTATTCAGAACCCCATACTCGCAAAAGCAAAAATTTGGAAACACTGCATTCCTAACTTTTTTTGTTGTTGTTTGTTGTTTTTGGACAAGGTTTCCTATAACCCAGGCTGGCCTCAAACTCACTGTAGCCGAGAAAACACTGAGTTCCTGATCCTTCTACCTCCTTACCTGCTAAGTGCTGAGATCATTTGCATGAGTCACCACACCCAACAGTCACATAACTTTTCCTTTAAAATGTAATAATTATCAAAAAAAAAAAAAAGAATGCAATAATTATCATTGTCTTTTTTTTTTTTTGGAGACAGCATCTCCCTATAGCCCCAGCTGGCCCTGCCTCTGCCTCCCAGGTTCTGGGATTAAAGGTGTGTGCCACCATGCCTGGCTTTATTGTTAACTTCTTGCGTGCATAACTTATAAAATTGAGCATAGGTGCATACATACAGGAAAAAAATGTGGGATACACACACATGTACATCTATGTGTGGCATTTAGTATTTATTATCTGTAGTTTCAGGCACCACTGGAGTGCCGTGGAACCTATCTGAGAAGAAAGGCTTCTGTATCTTCATCTGTTTGAAGCTTGACATGGACAAATAGGTCCTACAACCACAAAAGAAAAAAGAGCAGGTCTTTAAGCTCCTTGCCTGTCATTTGGGGTTCCCCAATAATTTAAGCATGAAGGACCCCTTATACTGACACATTTTTAGTTCACAGCCAAAAATTACATTCTTCTCTAATAAATCAACTGCACACCCTAATATCTTGTAATGAAACACAGATGTTTCCCATTTCTATAAGCAACAAATTCACTTTTTTTTTGGGTCTTTTTGAGACAGGGTTTCCCTGTAGCCCCAGCTGGCCTGGATTAGCTATGGAAACCAGGCTGGCCTCAAACTCAGAGATCCACCTGCCTCTGCCTCCTGAGTGTTGGGATTAAAGGCATGCGCCACCACACCCAGCCAACAAATTCACTTTTTAAAAAATTGTTTTTTACTCAGGGTCTCACTATGTAGCCTTGTCTTAAAGAAGGAGAAATTTGCCAGGTGTTGGTGCTGCACATCTTAATTTAATCCCAGCACTCAGGAGGCAGAGGCAGGCAAAACAAGGCCAGCCTGGTCTATATAATGAGTTCTGGACCAGCTGAGGCTACAGAGAGACCCTGTCTCAAAAAAAAAAAAAAAAAAAAGAGAGGAAAATTATTAAACACAAATTGCTGCTATTGAATCAAATCAGGTAATATTTTCCCAGTTAAATAAACACTTACTTGGGAGTCTTACAGAAACGGAAGGGATTTAAGATTTTTTTTAGTTTTTTAAAAAATATATTTTTGTGTGTATATGCGCATGTATTGCCTGCATGTAGGTAAGTGCACCCGTGTTGTCAATGCCCACGGGACAGAAGAGGCTGTCAGATCTCCTGGGACTGGAGTTACGGACAGTTGTTAGCTGCCATGTGGGTGCTGGGATTCGAATCGGGGTCTTCTGCAAGAACAACCAGTGTTCCTAACCACTGAGCCATTTCTCCAGCCCCAGAGATTTAAGATTTAAAATTCCCATTGTGCTAGGGATGGTGGCACCTGCCTACACTCTCAGAACCTGGAAGGCTGAAGCAGCAGGAAAGCCACGAGTTCAAGAAAAGCCTGTTCTACAGCAAGCTTCACAAGCTTCATGGCATATAGCAAGACCCTGTCTCCAAATAACAAAAATTCCCATTTTTTAGCATTTAGTTAAATTGCATCAAAGGTGAAGCAATTTAAGGCCAGCCTGGGCCACAGAATGAGTGCCAGAGAGTGAGCACAAGAGAGAAGTGGTCTCAAAAAGAAGTGTGTGTGTGTGTTGAGTGGAGACATCAGAAAGGGTTAAGAGCAAGAGAGGCCAGCCGCTCCAAAGACTGGGTCCCTTTAATTAAAAAGCCCTTGACAGTCAAGCTGTTGCACACCAAGTACTGTTAAAGCTGAAAGTGGTACATATTTCCCTTTGCTAATATCAGGATTATTGTCATGGCTAAGGTCTCTTGGCTCAGCCCAAAATCTGAGCAACTGGCTGCCAACACTTGACACACAGGACCACTTCCTTTTCCATTAATGGGCTGTCAATTCGTGCACAGGGTAGCCTTGCCTTCACTAATGTTATGCAATCCATTTACTTTCTCTACATTAGTGACTTCAAGTGTACCTTGGAGAGATGCTTCACAATAGCAAATATGGAGCCAGGCCAATTTGAAGCTTGCAAAGACAGAAGAGGTAGCATCTAGGACAAAGTTAAAAACAAAATCTTAGCAGGCACATGTGTGAAGGGGGCTGGAGAGATGGGACCCACTCTCTGTCAATTTGCTGAGGCAGAGGGGCCCTGCTGTGAGAGCTGCCCCCTCCTGGGAAAAAAACCAGTAGGTTGCCTCTTCTCTCCACTGCTACATATTAAGCCTGCAACTGTTTATGCTCAATCTCGGATACATTCTGCTCACCAGCTTCAGAGTTCCAAGTGCAGGTGCCCTCAGTTAATCATCCCAGTTCACTCCAAAGTCACTTCCAGTGGTGAAGGATGTTCTAGGCAGCCAGCCAACAGCAATTTTTTTCTTTAAATCTGCCCCATTTTGATCCCTAAAGACTAGTTTTAAAGTTTGTTTTCTGTTTAAAATATTTTCTTCAAACAAGAAGATAACACTTCTCAGTTTAGAAAAGGAGATGGACTAAAAAGTGAAGAAACAAACTCCTGTAGGTATTGAGGTTCAGGTGGGTGCAGAAGGCAGGAAACAGAGATGAACAATAGAGTCAAAACACTTCAAAGGAAGATATTTTCCAAAAGGTGCTTAACGTTACTGTCCAGGATAAGAAAACCAAACTCACATTCATTTTGAAAAAGCTATTTATTTTCTTTTACATAATATTCCAAATATGTGTCTTACAGATAAGGGTCAATATGAGTTAGAAAACATTCTACTGAAGGAAACCATTTAGACATTGGGAATCATTCTAAATAAAAAAAGCTAACATCCATCTACACAAAGCTATGTTCCACTGGAAAATTTCAGCATCCAAAGTGCAAAGACAGAAAACAACTGTGGCTTTTCTTGCCACATGAAAATATTGACAATCTTAATTGTTAGCTGAGATGTCAAACAGACAGCAAACTGACCTTTACAATAGGCTCTCCTGGACAAAGGAAAAGAGGGCCAGTCACTAGAATGAAAACTTTAGAAGAACAAACTGGCTTTGACCATAATCAACTCCCTAGTCCAGCCAGAGGCCTATTAGAGCCAGAGGACAAAGGAAAAGACGGCCTGTCACTAGAATGAACTCAACTTTAGAAGAACTGGCTTTGACCATAATCAACTCCCTAGTCCAGCCAGAGGCCTATTAGAGACAGATACAAGGCATGGAAATCATAGGATTGTGGTACTTTATACTAAGACCTAACCAATCCAAATGAAAGCTAAGCATACTTGAACCACCAGTGCTGTCTTCCATCCATCCCTCTTCATGCTGGCCATGCGGAGCTCAATTCATAAAGCAGGAAGGGATCAGGCTCTTAGAAGGAGCCATCCTGTAGCATCTGTCCTGCCTTTCCTTACCCTCTCCCTTCTGCTTCTTGTCCTAAGACAACTCGGCTTTACCCAAGAGGTAGAATTTCTGTCATTGTCTAAGTGACACCAAAGGAAAGTCACTCCATGAGTAGTACTTGGCTTTAAGCCAAAAAGATTCCCCTCCCCTCGAAAATCATAACAAATTCCATATTATCCCCTTCTCCCATCTAAAGGCTCCCAACTAGTATAAGGCGCCAACATTATGTTATTAGAGGTAAGAGGGAGATACATAATAAATATAATAAAACCCTCATACACAATTAAACTTTATTTAAAGCATGGAAAATGCTAAAAGTAGTAATGTATATAGGTGGTTAGAGCAGAGCAAGCAGGTGCACCCTCTCTTACTGATAGGCAACATGACTTCACTTGAGGTATGGAGTAGGAAAAAACTTGCCGTGTTGACTTAAGTTGGTGGCAGACTTGCTTTTGCTCCCAAACCTAAAAAACAAACAAAAATTTGAGAAAATAAATTAGAAAAGTAGTCTATGGGCCGTGAGATGGTTCAGTGAGTAAAGGCACTTCGTATATAACCTGGCGAGACCTGAGTCCCAACCCTGCAACCCTCATGGTGGAAGGAGACAGTCAATTCCCACAAGGTGTGCTCTCACCTCCTCCATGCCTGCTGTGGTGTGTGAGGGCGGGGACGGACACATGGACACACACACACACACACACACACCAAACAAACATAATTAAAAAAAAATAGTAATAGTTTGGGGGCTGGAGAGATGGCTCGGTGGTTAACGGCACTGGCTGCTTTTGCAGAGGACCTGGGTTCAAATCCCAGCACCTACATTGTGGCTAACAACTGTCTACAACTCCAGTTCCTGGGGATCTGATGCCCTCTTCTGTCCTCTGAGGGCATTGTCTGACACAGGTATACTTATATACATGCAGGCAACACACTCATGCACATAAAATATAAATCAAAAAAAATTTTTTTTAAATAATAATTTTTAAAAAGGCCAATTCTGCATACCTGGGAGTATTTTTGGAGAGATTATAGAATCTCTGTGATAGGGAGCTTGATAAAGGAGTCTTGACAAGCTGGAATTCAGGAGTGGTCACCGGCCCCAGTAAGCTCACTTCAAACAAAATTCAAACATAACTGTGAGAGAATTGAGGGGGAAAAGAAAGACCAACTGAAGACGGTCAGTTTTAAGCAGACACCTTCTGAAGGTTAGACAGCTAGCAAAGACCCACCGGTCATTTTTATCATCATCTGTAACACACTACTATATCTTTTCAACTATGCAAGCAACTATGAAATGAAGAGTTGGCATTCACTTCCTGATTTAGACCATTCTCAAGCTCCAAACTCCATACACCTAACATTTGAACATCTGGTTTTTATGTATACTAAAAGAAATAATATGCTACCACAAAAAAAACTTTTCATATGCCAGTGAGGTTGGAATAAAACATTCTACTCCTGGCAACATAAATGGCAAATATCTTCTACGAAATTTGATCCTTGGGACTCATGACAGAAGGAGAGAACCAATTTCCTTAAGTTATCCTCTGATCTACAAAGTGTGTAAGGCACCTGTACCCCAGATACAAAAATAAACAAAATGCAACAATTTTTTTAAAAAGAAATCAAATCAGTAAAACACACCAAGAAACATAAAATTGTAGAATTTACTATTAGGGTATATTCTTATAATGCTGATGCAATATTATTTGTATCCTTGAAATACTGAAAAATAGACTGTTTAGCACTAGGGAGGCAGAGGTGGATCTCTGTGAGTTTGAGGCCAGCCTGGTCTATATAGCGAGGTCCTGGAGGTCATTTGTGACTACAGAGAGACCCTGTCTCAAAAGGACAAAAAAAAAAGAAAAAGAATATTTAAGCAAATTATAATTTATGTAAAACTGTCATACGTAATATACTAATATGCTAATATCTAAACTACCACAATGTTACAAACGTCTATCCATAAAGAAAGGGGCACATGGAAACTGAAAACAGCACGGCTGTACAAATTCCGTTCCTGTGAAGATAAATGTAAGGACTTTTTGGAGTGTAGGGGGTTGAGAAAGGCCCAGAATGGCCTTGAACTTGGTATGTAGCCAAGGGTGACCTGAACTCTTCATCCTCCCACTTCCACTTCCCAAGTGCTAGGATTGCAGGTGTGTATCACCACACCCAGCCCAGAAACGTCACATACCTGACCCAAAACAAGGAGAAGGGCACAAGACAGAGCTGAAGAGAACAAGTCCCTGAAGCAGCACAGCACAGGCCTGACCTTTTACATCTGGTGTCCGGGGTGTGCAGCTCCCATTGCCATGCTGCGTGTCAGTGTTCCCTTGTTCCACCATCAGGAACTGATTCCAGTATTCCAGGGGCAGTGAAAGCAGGTGCCCCACCACTGAAAGGCACCAAGTATGTTTGCAGCTTCCAGACCTCAAGGCTTACTTGAATTATTACTTTTTTTCATTTTGTTTTCTGAGGCAGTCTACTCTGCAGACCAAGCTGGCCTCAAATTTATGGTGATCTTCCTGGTTCTGTCTGTCAGAGCTGTGATTACAGACATGCATTACCACACCCAGCATGCAGGGCTTACCTCTCATCATTCTGTTATGACATCACACGGCAGAAGCTCACACAGCTTATATACTTACATGTGTAAATATGTGTTCTCTCTCTCTCTCTCCTCTCCCTCTCCCTCTCCCTCTCCCTCTCTCTCTCCTACCTTGAGTTGATGCTTGATGTCCTGGAACATTGTCACTGGGTCTGGATTAGGCACACCATGGGCAACTATTGTAGGGCCAAAGACTTTAGCTAGATTGGCAATATCCATTTTAGTGTCTGGACTCTGAGCCACTCTAAACAAAAGAGTATTCAATTTAAAAATTTCTTCCTCTCTTAAATGCAGACCAAAATGTAAATTCTACAAGAAGACAACTTATCTCTCGCACTTCCTAACACCAACTCACACTACCTTCTTCTTGGAAAATTCCCTAACTCCCAAAACAAGTTTCTGCTGTACTTACCTCTGCAAATGAATCATGAGGAAGGCTAATGTGTCCCTGTTGGCCTGGGGCAGCTCACTGACAGCCTGGTACATGGCAGCTATGCTGTTGTCTTCATCTGTTATTTCTGTAAATGAAAAGAAAGCACCAAGAGGCCTAGACTTCTTTCCCTTGGCAGTGGGCCTCCAAGTTATCGACCACAAAGTCTCACCTATACAGTAAGCTTCTGAAACTTCTGATTAGGTTCATGACTGCATCAGACTCTGGTTTCATTAACAAGCAGGATACTGGCCAACAGTTCAATATAAGTCAGAACTTCTTAAAAATCACCCTTGCAGTTAGAGAAAGCAGCTGGTAACCCATTTGCTAGGAGGACATACAACTGCAGTAACGGTCATCACAAAGGAACTCGTTTTAAGGGACTACTATGTACCAGGTGCTTTCTTTTTTTTGTTTTTTTTGGGGGGGTACTTTTTGATACAGGGTCTACCTGTAACCCCAGCTAGCCCGGAGCTCACTGTGTAGACCAGGCTAGCCTCCAACTCAGAGATCTGCCTGCCTCTGCCTCCCAAGTGCTGGGATTAAAGGCACGCACCAAAACGCCTGGCCCCCAGGTGCTTTTCTAAGTGTGAGGATAAAGCAAACCAACAGTCCTTGCTTCATGGAATATACATTCTATTGGGAGAGTTGGTCAAAAAGCAAACATGTATTAGGCAGAGAAACATATAATAAAGGAAACACAGCAACCAAGAAGCTAGAAAAGACTAGAGAGAGGGCTCAGCAGTTGAGAGCCCTGGCTGTTCTTGTATAGGGTCTGGATTCAATTCCCAGTACCCACATGGTGGCTAACAACTGTCCTAACTTCAGTTCCAGGGGATCTGACACCCTCTTCTGACCTCTGAGGATATTGCAGGACATAGGTGCACTTATATACATGCAGGCAATACACTCATACACAAAAAGTAAAAATAATAAATACATTTTTAAAAAGCTAGAAAGTAAAGGGATCTATTATTTTTAAATGAGGTGGTGAAGAAAGATGTTTTATTTTTGTTTATTTTTTGAGACTGGGTCTTAGGTAGCCTAGTCTGGTCTCAAACTCATTATGTAGCGAAGGCTAGCCTTGAGCACCTGGTCGTTCCGCCTCTACCTCCCAAGTGAGAGGATAAAGGCATGTGTCACCATGCCTGGATCAGGAAAGGTATTTCTGAGGACAAAATATATGCATAGAAACTTAAAAATGATGGGTAGGAGATGCAGAGATGGTTCAGCAGTTAAGAGCACTGGTTGCTCTTGCAGAGGATTCAGGTTTGGTCCCCAGCACCCACACAGTGGCTAACAACCATCCATACATAGTCCAGTTCCAAGGGATCCAATGTCCTCTTCTGGCCTCCTCAGGCATTACACAACATGGGGGATACTTACATACATGTAGGCAAAACACTCATACACATAAAAAAATCAAAATCAAAATAAATCAAAAACTTTTTTAATGATGGAAAGCGGACAAAAGGGACATCAACTAGCCCGGGCATGGTGGCACACGTCTTTAATCCCAGCACTCGGGAGGCAGAGGCAGGCAGATCTCTGTGAGTTCAAGGCCAGCCTGGTCTAAATAGTGAGTTCCAGGACAGCTGGGGCTACAGGGAGACCCTGTCTCAAAAAGACCAAAAAAAATAAATAAATAAATAAAAAAGGAGGGGGAACGTGAACTAACTTATGATTTAAAAAGCGCACTCCAGCTTCTTATGAAGACCATACTATAGAGGGCACAAAGAGACACAGGACCACCTGTCTGCAGGTTCTTACTAGATTCCAGGGTACATTATTACTCCTGACAAATACGAGACAGGATGATTTTACAAAGCTGCCGACAAGGTCTGGAGTGGAAAGAGAAGAATTAAAGATGGTTCTAATTTCAAAGGAGCAAGCTAAAACTTGACCAAAGAACAAGAGCAACACAACCCTACGAATGCCCTTACAGTTTAAGGAGGAAGAGGACAGGCATGGGGGACATGTCGTTTATTTATTTACCTAACTACTGAGCAGCTACTAAATTCCTGCCTCTGTTATCAGGCAGTAACAAGTGTGAAAACCGCCCAGTCCTGGAAATCATATTAAAGTATAAGACCTGTCCTTACCTGCTGCTTCCATAAAAGCTTTGCTTAGTCGAAAAGTCAGAAGGGGTTCTTTGAGGTTTCAAAGGAAGTCTTTCAGGAGGCTACAGATGGCATGGATATCATCCACTTTGCTGAGTAGGGGTACAGTTTTCACTTTGAGGAATTTCTCTTTCAGTTCTTTTACTGTCCGATCACAGCCCGAGATCCTATATAAGCCTGCCTATTATCAAGACGAGTTACTTTAGAACTTTCCAATTACAAAGAACAAATTCACCACGTCCTAGAGTTGACTTACCTCAGTCAGACCTCTCTGCTCAATCTCATTAACACAGCTGACAACAATAGAGGGAATCATTGGAGAAGTCTGGGACACAAAATCAGCCAACATTCCCTGGAAAAAGGGCCTTAAATTATTATTCACACTATTTAGACCAATAGAGGAAGAACATATGCAAAGAAAACCTCTAATAGTAACACTAGGATGTTATTTCATGTATGTAAGTGCACCATATACATGCAATGCCTGCAGAGGCCAGAATAGGGAATTGGATCCCCCAGAACTGGAGTTACTAGGTGGGTGCTGGGAACCAAATCTGGGTCTTCTGTAAGAGCAGCCAGCGTGCTTAAGCACGGGGACTCTCTCCAGCCCTTTCTGTCAACTTTTAAAATCCTATTCTCAAAGCATACATTAAACAGTCTTGGAGAGCTGGAGGTGGGGCTCAGTAAGTAATGTGCTTGCCTAGCATGGATGAGGTCCTAGTTTCCATTCCCAACATTGCATAAACTGGGTGTGGTAGTGCCTGCCTGGAATCCCAGCACTCTGGGGGTGTGGGCAGAAAGATCAGGAGTTCAAGGTCACCCTAAGCTACAAAGTGAGTTTAAGGCCAACCTCATGTACATGAGGCCCTGCTTCAAAAACATGAAAGATACAAAAACAGGAGTCTTGGTTATTTTTTCTACCTTCACACCATGGCTGATTTATATATACCACACTTCTGCGTGAACAAGCAACAAGACCACCAACTGTGACTAGTTCTATTCTACTCGGTGATAAGAGGAAGCAAGAAATAAATAAATCATAGGTATGGCTTTCAATGTAAGCTAATTTATTACTCTAAGAAAAAAATCTTGCTGGGCATGGTGGTGCATGCTGGGCACGGTGGCACACGCCTTTAATCCCAGCACTGGGAAAGCAGAAGCAGATCTCTGTGAGTTCAAGGTCAGCCTGATTTATATAATGAGTTCCAGGCCAGCTGGGGCTACAGGGAGACCCCATCTCAAAAACAGATCAAAAAATAAATAAATAAATTCACAAATGAAATTGTATGATTTGAGATTTGCTTCAAAATAATTCACTGGAGGCCACTCAGGCAGCTTGGACCAAAGGCTACTCTCAGTCTTAAACAGAGAAGTGTCCCTTACAGTGAATGGACATAAATGCAAAGACCCTTGGCTGTGCAAAATGATGCAAATGAAGGATGGTGGAAGGCTCAACCCTAGACAAGTCATTTATACCATCCCTTGAGGTTCAGAGAACATTGCGGAAGAGGGGGCAGAAGGAATGTAAAAGCTAGTGGATGGGAAGAGCGGCTGCAAAATGCCATCTTGTAGGCATGACATCGTTATGGCAACCATGAACTCAGAGCCTCTGTCTTACTGGCACTGGGTCCACAGAAGTTGGGCCTGCCTAACAGTCAGTTATGGAGAGGGAAGGAATTTACCAGGCCCTATTACATACTGCTGATCTATTGGCAACCAACAGATTCTGGGAGAGGAGAAAGGCACAGTAACCAGATGTATATCCACTAGTGAGCCCACCAGGTTCTGATGGTTAGTCCCAAACACAGGATCACACAGGCAGCCCTAATTAAACTCTGTGGGACACTAAACAAAATAAAAAACTAGTAAATAAGGAAAAGAGATTTGTAGGGAGAAGAGGAGGCTGGTGGGGTGGGAGGGAATTAGAGGAGGACCAGAATACAGAGTATACATGTATGAAATTGTGAAAGAAAAAAGAAACTTGAATCTTGGCTCCATAATTCTGTAACAAAGTAACAAAACCATGTTTAGTAATACAAAGCTCTATTTGTTGGTAACTAAGCAAAGCAGACACCTTCAAAGTATTCTTTACTTTATTTCCAGCCAAAACTACAGTGCAAGCTGAACACAGCATTTCTGTCCATTACTTTAATCTTTTATGTATGTGCTTCATGAGTTTGAACTAAGAACATCCAAAAAAATCTGTCTACTATCTTTTCAGTTTTAAATGTTGGTGTATGAAGCTGGGTGTAGTGGCAAATGCCTTTAATCCCAGCACTCAATCTCTAAGAGTATGAAGCCCGCCTGGTCTACATTGTGAGTTCCAAGCCAGCTGGAGCTACTGGGAAATTCTGTCTCAAAAAAGCAAAAACAAAAAAACCAACCAAACTAAAAGTTGATGTATTAGTGTTGAAAATACAGACAAGAGCCAGACGTAGTGAAGGCAGTAGCAGGCAGATATCTGTGAGTTCAGGTCCAGACTGGTTCACGAAGGAGTTCCAGGCCAGCTGGGGCTACGGGGAGACCCGGTCTCAAAAAGACCAAAAATTAAAAAAGGAAGTGCTAGAACTCTGCTGGGATGCTGCTATCAAAAAAGGCATGGTTTGTCACTGTTAGTCAAATGACACAGCACATGTTCTTTTCATTCATGAACGGGACTTAAACTGATGACTTAAAAATGTATTTACTGGGACTGGAGAGATGACTCAGCAGTGAAGAGCACTGACTACTTTGCAGATGACCCGGGTTCGATTCCCAGCACCCACATGGCAGCTACGAACTGTCCTTAACTCCAGCTCCAGGGGAATCCAAAGCCCTCTTCTGACCTCCGCAGCACTGCACGACACAGGCGCACTCACATACATACAGGCAGTACACTCATACACACATCAAATAAAAAATATTAAAAAAGAAAATTACAAAGGATTTATTTATTTTTATTTGTACAAGTGTTTTGCATGTGTGCCATACAAGTGTGCCACATCTCTGCAATGTCCAAGGAGGCCAAAGGAGGGCACCAGATCCCTTGGAACTGGAGTTGTGGACAGTTGTTAGCTACCATGTGGGTTGCTGGGACTCAAACCTGAATCCTCTGTAAGAGTAGTCAGTACTCTTAACCACTGAGCCATCTCTTCAGTCCCTAAACTGATGATCTAAAAATAAATAGGTGACTTATACTCCATTCTCTGCACCATGCTGGGCCTGTCAGTGGCAGGCTGCGGTCGGGTCTCAGCAGTGGGTGGAACCACAGCCATGATGAAGACTGATGTTAATCCAAAGGCCTATCCCCTTGCAGATGCCCACCTCACCAAGAAATTACTGGACCTTGTTCAGCAGTCGTGTAACTACAAGCAGCTTCAGAAAGGCACAAATGAGGCCACCAAAACCCTCAACAGAGGCATCTCTGAGTTCACGGTGATGGCAGCAGATGCTGAGCCCTTGGAGATCATCCTGTACCTCCTGCTGCTGTGTGAAGACAAGAATGTTCCCTATGTGTTTGTGTGCTCCAAGCAGGCCCTAGGATGGGCCTGTGGGGTCTACAGGCCTATCTTTGCCTGTTGTGTCACCAAAGAAGGCTCTCAGCTAAAGCAGCAGATCCAGTCCATTCAGCAGTCTATTGAAAGGCTCTTGGTGTAGACCTTGTTTTCCTGTCGACCCAGCCCCAGTTGTGTGTTGTATTATCTGTGTTAGTATGCATTTTCAGCAGCTTTCTAAAATATTGTACCACAAAAAATAAATAAAATAAATACAGGGTCTGGAGAGATGGTCCAGTGGTTAAGAGAACTTGCTGCTCTTGCAGAGGACCCAGGTTCTGTTGCCAGCACCCACATGACAGCTAACAACCATCAACAACTCCAGTTCCAGGGGATCCGATGCCCTTTTCTGACATCCTGAGCATTGCACGATACGGTATACTTACTTTTTTTCTTTTTGGTCTTTTTGAGACAGGCTCTCCCTATGGCCCCAACTGGCCTAGAACTTGCTATGTAGACCAGGCTGGCCTTGAACTCACAGAGATCCACCTGCCTCTGCCTCCCTAGTGCTAGGATTAAAGGCGTGTACCTCCATGCCTGGCATAATGTATATGTAGGCAATACACTGATACACATAAAATTTAAAAAAATAGATTAAAAAATTCACTGGATAGAATTGAGAAGAGAATTGATAGTGATACAGAAACCAGGAGTTAGTTATAATAATATGCTTGCTTTTGTGTATGTCTGACATTTCCAAAATAGGAGGAGCAGAGAGTAAGCAAGAGGAGGAGGGAGTAAGGAGTAAAGAGAGGAGAGGAGGACTTTGGTTTAGAAAGATTATTAAACAGAGAGACCCAAACAAAATTCTACCATAAGTCAGCATTTTACCATTTCTATTCATTTTTCATGGAGGGACATTTTATTTGACATCAGTAAGTTTAGAATATAGCTATGATGATAGCTTTGAAAGGCTAAAGAAACAACAAATGATGGCTGGCTCCCATGACTCTCACCTCTCCAATCTTGACAGGTGTTCCCATCAGGGCAGGAATGCAGGGAAGGGGACAGCGTTCCCGACATTCTTGATGAGAGACCAAGCGACAATCTCGACACTTCAGAGACAGCTTGCCAAATTTGATCCGCTTTCCACAGGGAACACAAGATTCAGGTTTAATAACCTAAGGATAAAATAGGACAGAAGCAACAGTGGTATGAATTATGAAATTACTGCCAACCAACATGCATTAAGCACACAGTATGTGCCAAACAACTTTTTAGGCCCATTATACATTTTAATGTATAATTGTCACAAGGATTCTGTAAAATAAGTTTTGTTTTCTTCATTTTAAGAATATCAGGGGCTGGAAAGATGGCTCAAAGGTTAAGGGCACTGGCTGTTCTTGCAGAGAACCCGGGCTCAATTTCTAGCACCCACAATGCAGCTAACAACCATCCATACAGTTCCAGGGGATCAGATGTCCTTATCTGTCCTCCACGGGAATTGCGCAACACAGTGCACTTACATACATGCAGACATAACACTCATAATATAAAATTAATATAATAAATAATTTTTTTTTGGTCTTTTTGAGATAGGGTCTCCCTGTAGCCCCAGCTGTCCTGGAACTCACTATGTAGACCAGGCTGGCCCTGAACTTGCAGAGATCTGCTTCTGCCTCTTGAGTGCTGGGGTTAAAGGCGTGCACCAGCATGCCCAGCAATAAAATATTTTTTAAAAAAAATATTCTATCTTCTATTGTTTTCTTCAATTTCTTTCTTCAATATGCTAAAAACTTTCATTGTAGAGGGCTTTCACCTGCCTAGTTAGGTTTATTCTTAGGTATTTTATTTATTGAAGTTACTGTGAATGGGATTTTTTTTCCCTGATTCTGTATTTTCTCCTCTAGCAGATTCAGACATCATATTTTTTACATCCTGACTATGACAGCATAGAGTGGTTCTACTATTTGATGTTTTAAATGCCTCTTACATTTGAATGTCTACTCCTTTCTCTACATTTGAAGAATAATTTCCTTAAATAGATCCTCTATGGTTTTGCATCTCAGCTCCTTCTTTCCTGTGAATTTTTGGGTTTGGTCTCTGACTTTTATCCAGAGTTGGATACTGTGGTAATGCTTTTTTCCCAGTGAACACAGTACTTCATTACCCTTGTCCTCCCCTGTTGGTGATGTTCCCAGTGTGTTTTCGATTCTTTGAGTTTTTCATTTCCAACATTTCTAGTTGCTTTCTTTTTATCTCAATTTCTCTGCTGTAATTTTCTTCTGTGTTGCTTTTTCATCTATATTGTTGGTTTCTCTCCACAATTTAGCTGGATTTTTCCTGTGTTGCTGTCTTTCCTCTCTAGATCCTGGATTTAACTCATCTGTTTACTTGCATCCTTTCTCAGGCCATTGACTAATTTTGCCAGAAATGCTCTGAAATCTTCATTTGGCATTTTACCTGTTTCAGTAAATTTCAGTTCAGTAGTTGAGGAGTTAGGATCTTTGGATGAGCTATGCTGCCTATTTTTGTCATGTTTTCTGTGCTTCTGTTTTATGATATGTACATGTGTTGGTTTGCGTTTATCTTCTGTATTTAGGGTAGGGGTGCCATCTTATTGATCGAACTACTTGAGGGCTCAATCCCCAGTACCGTTCATAGAAGAGGAAACAAATGGCTACAGCAGCAGCAACATTAAACCACACAAGATACAGAAATAGAATTAAAATCAATTACTGCTCACTAATGTATCACCAAGATCATAGAACTGAAAATGGCAAGCTGCTGTAAGATGTGCAGTGACATTAAAAGTTACTTAGAGGAAGTATGGATAGAGTAAAGAAATTAGATAAAGGCAAGGACAGGGAGAAGAGACACAAGATTAAATTGCTCAGAAGAAAAAGGAGAGTAGAGAACTGTCAAAATAGGCACGTTCCACTAGGCTGACCTCGTGTCTGGAATTTGAATTAAGAAGCTTTCAAAGACTCAACAGTTGGGGCCTGGAGAGATGGCTCAGCGCTTAAGAACACTGGCTGTTCTTGCAGAAGACGCAGGTTCAAATCCCAGCACCTACATGGCAGCTAACAATTGTCTGTAACTCCAATCCTAGGGGATCCGACAGCCTCTTCTGACCTCCGTGGGTATTGCACAACAAGGGTCCAGTTACCTATATGCAGGCAATACATGCATATACATAAAATAAAAATAATAAAATTTAAAATTGATAAAGGTGATGGATGCCTAATTCTGTGGGTATACTAAAACCACTCAGATCCAGGCATTGTGGTTCATACCTGTAATCCCAGCATTCAAAAGGCTGAAGAATGGAGGCTAAAGTATGGAGAGATGGTTCAGTGGTTAGGTGTGTTTGCTACTCTTGCAGAGGACTAGTTTGGTACTCAGCACCCACATAGGGTAGCTCACAAATGCCTGTTACTCCAGCTCCAGGGAATCTGACACCTCTGTCTTCCAAAGGCACCTGTACTCACATGCACATATTGCCCCCTCATACAGACACATACATACAATAAGTTTTTTTTAAAGAAAAAGAGGCTGAAGCAGGAAGATTGTTTTTGAGTTTGAGAGCATCTGGGGCTACAGAGTTCCAGGCCAGCCTAGGGTACAGAGGGGGGACCCTGTCTCCCTGCCCCCTAAAAGGTACATTGTATATGTTAGTTACATCTCAAATAAGATGAAGTATGGCTTAGCACTTAGTAGATAAGTGTTTAGCAAATATTAGTTATTTAAATGGTAACGGACCACTGTTTCAAAGACAGAGAAAAACAGAAGCATCTCAAAGTGGGAAGAAATAAGGGTGTCTTGTTTTACATATATTAAAAAAGTCCTTGCTGGCATTGTACCACCGCGGAGGCAGAAGCAGGTGGATCCCTGTGAGTTCAAGGCCAGACTGGTCTACATAGTTCCAGTCCAGCTAGGGCTATAAGAAGACCCTGTCTCAAAAAGACAAAAAAAGAAAAAAAAAAAAAATTCCCACAGTAAGATCCCCAATATCACACAGGGGAACTTTTTTGAAATGATTTGCTTGATTTTCTTCTAAGACTTATTTTTTTTATATCTAATTATGTGTATGTGTGTTTCTGTATGGGTATCTGCACATGAGTACAGGTGGCCACAGAGGCCAAAGGTGTCAGATCCCCTGGAGCTGGAATTACAGGTGATTGTGAGCCACACCAATATGAGTGTTGGAAGTCAAACTCCAGTCCTCTGCAAGAGCAGCAAGCACTTAACCTCTGAACCATCTCTCTAGCCCCAACATGTTTTATATCTTAAAATGTGAATTACATGGGCTTATGTATCGTTAAAAAAAAAAAATCTGTGTATTTGGAGCCAACAAGATGGCTCAGAAGGTAAAGGTACCTACCGCAAAAGCCTGACAACCTGAGTTCAACCCCTAGAACTCACATTGTTGAAGGAGAACCAATTCCCACAAATTGTTCTCCAACCTTCAGAAGTTAGCCACGGCAAATGCACCCACATAGGAAATTTTTTTTTTAATTGGGCTGCAAGCCAGGGGTGGTGCCGTATCCCTTTAATTCCAGAGACAGAGGCAGGTGGAGCTCTGTGAGATCAAGGCCAGTCTGTTCTAAATAACAAGTTCCAGGCCAAATGGGGCACAGGGAGGTTGTCTCAAGAACCCTCCAACCCCCCTCCCAAAAAAAGACCAGAGGAAAGGGCTGGAAAGAAGCTAAAAAGAAGGCTCAGTGGTTAAGAGCATGTACTACTTTTGCAAAGGACCTGAATTCAACTCCAGCATCCACACTGGGCGCTCACAACCACCTGTAACTCTAGCTCCCAGAGATCCAATGCATCTGGTCTCTGTAGGCACGTGCACTCACATGCACATACAGACATATACACATAATTGTAAAAATAAAGAATGATGGAAGGGAGGGAGGGATGGAAGGAGGGTGGGTGGGCAGGCGGACTGGTGACAATGTTCCAAAATCCCAGCACTTGGGAGACTGAAGCAGGAGGATCACGGGCTAGAGGCCAATGAGGGTTACAAAGTAAGACCCTGCTTCAAAAAACAAACAAATTGCCTAGAAGGATTTACCGTCTCAGAGACAAAGTCATGCAGGTGCATCCCTCCATTAGTCTGTGGTGTGCCTGAGTTGTCTGGCTCAGTTCTTGGCTCCAGCGGCCTGCTGTTCAGAGTAGAGTCACTATTCACAGGTTGTAATGGACCTAAAAAACAATCAAATTGAAGCTTTATTCTAAAAGATTTCTTCCTTCTGAATTTTAATTCCATTTTTAATACAACTAGTAGATTAACAGTAATGGGTAACCATAACCAATATGAACACAAAAAAAAGTTTCCAAGAAAAGCTGCAGCTAGCTACTGCTGGCACAGATCAGGCTGGCAAAAAGGCAAACCATGCCTAACAGATCTCTGACTGGCAGCACACAGGCAGTGAGAAACTGTCTAAATTTCACTCTAAAATTTTACCAGTTGTTTATTTATTTATATTTATTTGGGGGTTTTTGGTAGCCCAGGCTGGCTTCAATGTCACTATGTAGCCCAGGCCACCCTCCAACTCATAATACACCTGTCTCAGCCCCCAAATGCTGGGATTATAGGGGCTGTGCCACCATACCCAGCTCTATAGACAATGATGGATCTTAATCACAAATCCAACAGACCTGATTTCCTTTGACTCCTGGTCCAAGATGGCAGTGTCAATAACAGACACAGCTTCAATGGGCCCACCATCACTAGGAACAGTCACTGTAGTTTTTGCAACTATGGATTCATTCCCCTGAAAGTAAAGTAGTAGTAATGAGAGACTGAGAAACAATTTAGCTTTCTTTCTATTACATGTATTTTCTTTTCTTTCTTTCTGAGGCAGCCTCTAGCCTCAGCTGGCCTGGAACTTGCTACATAGAACAGGCTGGCCTCAATCTCACAGACACCTCCCTGCCTCTGCCTCCAAAGTGCTGGGATTAAAGGTGTGTGCCACCACACCTGGCCACTAACCTCTGGTGTGTTTAAGACCTCAGTTCTCTTGTCCTGTTCTTACCTGGTCTGCTGTAGAGCCACTGGAGTTTTCTTTACAGGCCCAGGAGGGCCATCAATGAACTGCCGGCTGCTGGAGTGCTAGAGAAGGGCAAAAACCAAGAGCTTTAGGGCCAAGTAGACCTGAGGCCTGGAAGACAGGATAACCCAGTCAGACAACAGTAAATAATAAGCAATGTGCTTTCTCACTCCCTGTTCCCACACGAAGAATGAGTTATACAAACACAAAAACACCCTCAGTGCTATAGAAAAAAGGGCCAAGCTTTGGAGAAATTTAGATGACAGCATCAGAAAAGTAGAGCTGTAATCCTGTATCTTTGGAAACACATCAAATAACCTACACAAGTCCACACGGATAGAGCTCTATACCCCATTAAACACATTTTATTCGAAGCTTATATTAGAACACAAAAGTCTTGCATAAAAATTCACATGACAATTCAAACAAACGTATTCTTTTCTACAGTATGAATAGAGGTCGCCCAAACCAGTGAAATAAACCAGAATCCTGCTGAGTCACTATCTCAAGGACTATCAACACTGCCCCTACAGGACTGGTGAGGTGACTCAATGGGTAGAGGTGTTCGCTGTGCAAGCCTGACAAACTTGAGACCAACCACCAGAACTCACAGTGGAAGGAGAGAATTGACTTCCATGAACTGCATAACATGTGCACGTCTGCATTCACATGCACATAAAATAGTAATAATATTGCCCCTACAGCATAAATTCATTTCTATTAGGTGTTTTGCTTTTTATATTATATGTTTAACAATGGCTAGAGTAACATGTCAGGAATATTATTTCATGGCTAAATTTCCTTAAGAAAATTATTACTAGGTTTGTTTTGTTTTGCTTGTTTTGGTTTTTTGAAATAGGGTATCACCTGGGGCTACAGGAGACCCTGTCTCACAAAGAGAAAAAAAGAAAAAGAAATATGGTATCAAATACAGTGTCACTGGTCTCACACTTGCTATGTAGTCCTGGCTGGCCTCAAACCACATTAGCGGTAGGATCACAAGTATGAGACACAATATCAGACAAGAAAATTCTTTTGTTATTTTATAAAAAGTAGAACATCTGGGCCTGGTAGCACAGGCTTGGAATCCCAATTACTTAGAAGGCTGAAGGGGAGGATCACAAGTTCTAGGTCTGCCTACAGACATCCTTGGGCAACTTAGTGAAAATCTGTTTCCAATTTTTTCTTTTTTTTTTTGGTCTTTTGAGACAGGGTCTCCCTGTAGCCCCAGCTGTCCTGGAA